GTACATTTAGGTACATCGTATGGGTATGCATGTGAAATGCAGCCAATTTGTCACTAATATTTTCTGTGTGGCCTTCCTTCCAGCTTATAAGCGCCCAGAAAGAGCCACAGATATTTAAGTGACTTTGGTTTCCTTTGAATATCTTGTGGTCCTCCATTTGATACAAATTTAAATGAACTGAAATGGAGCATGAGATCAGGGCAGGATCACTGCTGATTTCATCTTTACTCCCAGCTGCACCACAAATGGAGCCTGGTAATTCATTCCCAACTGCTTCCCAGGCCAGGACTTGGGGCCCCTTTCCATTATCCATTGTTGATGACCTTGTCTTTGCTTTCTGGGCCCCAGCCTTGTTTCCTGACAAGGGTTTCCACAACAATCATTTGGTGAGTGCAATCTTTGGGGTCTCCAGCTGTAATATTCACACCAGCTTCAGAGAAACACATTTCTCTACTTCTCTCCCTCAGAGGCTTTATTTCCTTCTAAGGGATTCTTTTAAGTGACAAGTTTCCAGCTGTTGTCATGATTTGTCTGGTAATGTGGTTTGAGGCTCTTGAGGAACCTTTGAGCTTAAAGGCCGTGTTATCCTGAGGTGCAGACACACCCACACGAACCTTAAACTCCGTGGTCAACCCCTGCGTTGATAACACTCTCCAGTGCACAGCTATTTGAAGTTCCCGAAGGATTTGGCAAAAACACACTCAAATCACAGTGTCATGTTGGCGTCTTTTTATTCACTTTTGCTTGCAAGTTAGGGGCTTAGACAGTTTTACTGAACCTGCTAGAGAGAATGAATCAAAGAGTTAAACAAGGCTCCACTTAGCCTTTTAATTTTTCACCCTCCAGACTCCTGTTGGGTGTTCTTTTCTCTTCAACCAAAAGGGTTAGGGTTTGCTGCTGCTATGACCATATTGAGTTACCTACAGCTAATTTATCAAACATGCCGTGTTCTGGTTTTTTATCGCCTATGAGAATCATTAATGAAGCGAGTTTTCAGGGTCCATTGGTAGCATGATTTCTGGTTCCTCACATGCTGTAGTCAGAGTGCTCTTTTAAAATGCAAATCTGGTCGTGTCACTGTCTGCTTAAAACTATCCAATGGTTTCCCACTACTCCTAGAATAAAAACAAAATTCTTTTTTTTTTTTTTAAATGTATCTTTTATTTTCAGGCATTCTGATTGCTTTTGTTTGTTTGTTTCTATGTTAAGTTTTGGGACACGTGTGGAATGTGCAGGTTTATTACATAGGTATACACATGCCATGGTGGTTTGCTGCACCCATCAACCCATCATCTATATTGTTTCTCCTAATGCTATCTCTACCCTAGCAGCTTACCCCACAACAGGACCTGGTATGTGACATTCCCCCTCCCTGTGTCCATGTGTTCTCACTGTTCAACTCCCACTTATGAGTGAGAACACGGGGTGTTTGTTTGTCTGTTACTGTGTTAGTTTGCTGAGAATGATGGTTTTCAACTTTATGTCCCTGCAAAGGACATGAACTCATCTTTTTTTACGGCAATTCTTAACTTGGCTAAAAAGACCTTGCATTTTGCCTTCCCTCGTCTACCCAGCCTTATTTCCGGGAGCACTCCTTGAGTTTCTGGCATTGAACACACTGGCTCTCCTTCCGTTTCCCTAACTCTCTGCTTTCCGTGGGTGCTCCTTTAGCCCGAATTGTGTCCTCTCTCTGGTAGTCTCTTTCCCCTTAATAACTATTAATTAATGTTCAGACCTGAGTTCTGATGGCATTTCCTTCCGCACCCCTCACACCAGGCTAATCCGTTAGTCAGACTCTTTCAAAGCACCCTTCAGACACCCATCTAACTGTCACCTCATGGGTCCTTCACTGGACTCCTCACAATAAGCAAGTGTGCATCTATTTGTGTGATTCTTCACTTAGTGTCTATTTTCAACTAGACACAGGATAAGAACTATGTAAGTCTGGCTACACTCTCAATACCAAATATTGGCAGTTAGTTCATACTAGGTGGCTCAACAAAGACCCACTGAATTAATAAAGGCATATGTACATTCAGGCTTTACCTTTTAATTACAGCAAAACCTGACCCTTGGTGTGCCTGTTGTCCCTGTCATGTCCTGCTGTGTCCAGTTTTAATGCCACACACGAAAATAACTTCCTTCTAAAGATATATTTATGGTGTTTCGTAGAGCTGTTTTGCTGATGAGGGGAAAAAATGTAATCCATAGTATTCAAGCTGCCTTTCTGAGATAAGGGAACAATGCTTATCAATCTTCTGCAAAGTTTGGCAATTTTCCATTTAAATGTTTACCAGGAGTTCAATTATCATATTTGCCATAAATATATAATGCAAGAAAGATGGTAATAAATATTATGATAGACCTCAAAAGTGTCATAAGAACCTAATAGAAGGAAATTAATTTCTATTGGGGCAATCTGAGAAAGCCTTATGTCAAAGTTTTGAACTGGGCCTCGTGGTTTACGTAGGTTACAAAGCCACTGCCCACCCTGTTTCTCTGGCCAGTTCTGGCTAACTCTAACCACCTTTGCAGTTCGGCCTAAAAGTCACTTCCTCTTGTACACCTTCTCTGATGCCATCCCCCAGCATGCGTCCAGTGTCCTTTTCCTATTATCACATATTTTCATTGCCTACCTTGCTACACACTCTAGGCCCCATAGTAAAAGGAACTAGAGCTGCTTTACTCACTGTTAAATCTTCATGGTATAGCATAGTGCCTGACATAGGAATTCAATCAATAAAAAGTGAATGAATACATGAATGATAGAAAAGTGGAGAGCAAAAAATGAAATACCTAAACTACTCTAAAAAACAGGCTTAAAATTTTAAGAAAATTTTGGGAACCACAATGGTGATATGGAGAAATACCAAAAGACATAAAAGAAAGGAAACTCTGGTGGGTACACCAAGTGTACATAGACGGAGGCAACATTTGAGTGGGTAAGTGTATCTTATACATAGGGGACATCATCACAGAGAAGTTTCAAAGTCAACAGGAGCCAGATTTTCTAGGGTCTTGGATCATAGTGCGTACTTTTTCCTTTCTGTATCAAGAGGAACCGTAAGTTTTTTATCAGGGGGATAGTAGCATGAGATTTGTATTTTATAAAAAGCATTTCAGTTGCCAGGTAGTAGGAAGATTATAAGAGGGGAGGAGAATAAAGGTGCAGAGAACTTTTAAGAAGCTACTAGAATTATCTACTTCTTAGTTTTTCCATCTCTATGCCATTAACACTTTGGGCTGGGTAATTTCTTGCAGGTGGTAGGTAGCTATTTTCTGCATTGTAGGGTGTTCAGCAGTATCCCTGGCCTCTACTTACTAGATGCCTATAGTATTTGTTCCTAAGGTGGACACCAACATTGTGTCAGATATTGCCAAATGTCCCCCATGAACGAAATTATCCTCCATTGAGAATCACTTATCCAGGCAATGAGTAATACACTATAATCAAATAAGACAGTTATTAGAATGAAAGAATGAGTCAGATACCAATGATACTGCATGAAAGTGAATTCCCACTAAAAAGCAACTGTTTCTCATTGTGCAATACAACAGTTGCACTGCCTGTGGATGCAGCACTCCTCAGAAGAGGAACGATAGACTCTTACAATGATCTTTTTTTCTCCTAAAACCGTATGGATAGACAATTTCTAGACATGTCCAACTATTATGTTGGATTTGGTCATCAAGAAGCCATACTTCTTTGACAGTGAAATTCTGATGCTTTTCGGGGGGAGTGAACTTTCTCTGTTCCCAGTCCATGGCCTTTGAGTGAGCTCCCACCCCACCCCTGGCTCCTAGGGTGGGACAAATGACACAGAGCTCTGAGCCAAGCAGACACAGTAGGTGCCATCCTGATACCTCAAGGGAACAGCACATCTGGAAAGAGATGTGCTGTCTAATAGAGAAGAGGAGTCAAGAGAAGAAGGTGAAGAATCATAACTCCGAAGACAGATCCCTGATGACACCATCTGAGTTCTGGAATTCTACCATGCCTAAAGCTAGGCCATCCATCGACTCTTTAATTTAATGAGTCAAAAATTTGTATTTTGCTTAAGCCAGTTTGTTTGGATCATCTGAAGAAGGAAGGGTGAATCACATTGTCCAAAGAGACCAGCAGTCTTCTACAAATATCCAAGTAACATCATTATAGAATGTAGAAGGAACACTGGATGTAGAATCAGACCTCAGAGCTGAATCTAAGTCCAGTCATACATTCATGTATCTGTGTAATTATTAGCTTATCAAATTTTTATTGAGTGTGTATTGTGTACTGGGCAATGAACTAGAACTCTGGGGCCATCACGAGGCTGGTCTTCCCTGCAGAGAACTTATATTCTAGTGTTCAACTGTAAGTGTCAACCCTGATTGCATATTACAGTCACCACCGAAAGTTTTAAAAATGCCCACGTCGGGATTCCATATTACGTAAGTCAAATAAGAATTTCTTGGGGTGAGACAGACATCAGTATTTATTGAAGTAATTCTAATGAAATGCTGGGGTCCTCTTTTCATTTTGCAGAGGAGGAAGCTAAGGCACAGAGAAGTTAATGTGGTCAAGTCTATAACACTGGCGAGAGGCAAAGCTAAGATTTAAACCCAGCTTGGGTTCAGAGTCTGCCCTCTTCTTAATAACTAGACTGTACCATAATTTGAAAGGCACAGTAAGAAACACCATGGTATATTTAGTCCAATGTAATTATATATATAAGCTAAGTTTGTTTTCAGAATTCTTAGCTTTTCCTTTTCCTTTCCTTGTGCCCATCCTCACCAATGTCAAACTCATACACATGTCTGCCCCCACCAAAATCTCACCTTGAATTGTAATAATCCCCACATGTCAATGGCAGGACCAAGGGCAGGAACATGCAGGAAATTTCCTCCATTCTGTTTTCGTTATAATGAGTGAGTCTCACCATATATGATGGTTTTATAAGTATCTGGCATTTCCCGTGTTTGCACTTACTCCATCCTGCTGCCCTGTGAAGAGGGTGGCTGCTTCTCCTTTGCCTTCTGCCATGATTTTAAGTTTCCTGAGGCCTCCCCAGCAATGTGTGACTGTAAGTCAATTAAACCTCTTTTCTTTATAAACTACCCAGTCTCAAGCAGTTCCTTATAGCAGTGTGAGAATGGACTAATATGCCTTCCCTACGTCTAGATCTAACAAATTCTCTTCTCTGTCCTATTGAAAATATTCCTTCCAAAAATTATCTGCTACCCCTTCTGTACAACTCACAGTGAGCACAAGTCAGAGTTTCCCTTGCGCTTTGGTAGGAGTGTGGTACAGCAGAAAGACTTAGATGGAGATCTGCAATCTCAACATTGTCACTCTAACAACTAATTGCACTTTCTGGCAAACTATATAACATCTCTGAGACATGAATTCTTTTATTTTTATTTTATTTATTTACTTATTTTTGAGACGAAGTCTCACTCTGTCACCAGGCTGGAGTGCAGTGGTGCGTTCTCAGTTCACTGCAAACTCCGCCTCCTGGGTTCAAGCAATTCTCCTGCCTCAGCCTCCTGAGTAGCTGGGACTACAGGCGCGTGCCACCATGCCCAGCTAAGTTTTGTATTTTTAGTAGAGACAGGGTTTCACCATATTGGCCAGGATGGTCTCAATCTCTTAACCTCATAATCCGCCCACCTCAGCCTCCCAAAGTGCTGGGATTACAGGCATGAGCCACCGCACAGGCCCCTTGTATTCTTATATCTGAAATGGCAATAATAACACCTCTTTTGCTGTGTAGTTGTAAAGATTAAATTGAAATATACTTATTAACTCTTAGCATAGTGCCTCAAATATAGGAGACTGTCAACTAATAGCAACTATTTCTATTAAGATTTCTCTAGATTTATATTTTCACATAGCAGAGGTTGTAAAAGGAAATATAATAATAATTAAAACACCCAATATTTTCAATCACTTACTTTGTGCCTGACATTGATGTTTCACATGTATTTTCTCAGCTATTCATAAAAATAACTCTATAATATTGGTACTATCATTTTCCATGTTTTGTAGATAAAAGAAAATAAAAGCAGAGCAATACCACATAGCTTACACAAGAAAGTATTAAAGACTTAAGTAGTCCTAGCTCAGTCTTAGAAGTTTCCTTTGGGGGAACAAATATTAGCATTGTTGTTACCATGTAACAGGAATTTGCAGTGACTAATGTTTGTATACATTATCTCATTTAATCTTTACAATAAACCCACTTTACAAATAGTGCAACAGAGGCTCAGAGAGATTATGTTGGTAGTATGAATGTAGTTAGAACCCTGTTCTGTCTGATTTGAAGCTTGTATGACTTCCCCCCGAGAAATGAAGGCTTAATTAAGAGTTCTGATTAATTGAGATTATACATACCCAAGAAAAAAGACTTCATTTTAGATTTGAAAGCCCTAATCCACCAGGGTAGAACTGTAGTAAGTTCAATTTCTAAGTACACTATTTTGTTAACCTGTAAGCACTATTTTCTTCTTTGCTTGGCTAAATATTGCTACCGCTTCAGCACAGTTCTATCCAGAAAGCCTCCCCTACTTGGAAGGACTCACTCAGCATCTACCTCTTGAGTCTACTCCTTTTGCAAACACCAGCTACATTTGTCAGTTTGTGTTGGAAAGAGTTTCTCTATCTCACATGAGAAAACTCTGCCTACATTAAAAGAGAAATTTCAGCAATACGCTCAGATGGGGTAATCACATTGAATTAGCGGCAAGATAGTTCGTATGACTTAATTAATTCTCCTATTATCAGCATTCTTGCACTCCAACCGAACTTCATTTACATATTCCTGTAGAGCATCGTTATTTAAGTTTAAAGGCACTAAAAATCAAGTCACACAATAGTTACATGGATTGGAATCAATGCAAGCTATTAATAGAAAAGCACTGAATATAGAATGGACAGAAGATGTGTTGTTTTGAAGCCTGCTCTATTTATGACCACATTCCAATAAGACTCATTGAGCGCCTACTATGTGCAAGATACTAAACAATGCATTTTACTTTTTTTGCTGCACATAGGAAACTACGCATTCAAAATAACGCTATCCTCTCAAGTTACTGACCTGCACTGTATATATTTCCTGGTCATAGGCAGCTTCCACACAAGAACATCTGTACACAAAAAGAATTCAGTTACTCAGATCTAAGTGAGTATATCTATTTCCTGGTAGCTATAATTGACTTATAGCTGGCATCCTAGAGACATAACCTAAGGCTATTTTGACAAACAATGAAGTAATAGATTTATTTTTTTATGCTGCTAAGGAAAATATATTTGCAGTCATGCTTGACATTGTTCAGGTAACCACCAAAACATCCAAATTATAATTACCATTTGGTCACATTGAGATGCTACATAAGCCCTCTGATTAATACATCGGTGTAAAAAATCTGTCACGATTTTGAACATAATACTGCCTGTTATTTTTCTGCTAGTAAGTTTTCTGAGACACATACTTGTCCATGTGTAAAACAGCTGTGGCAAGGTGGTAACTGTCCAGAAATAGCGGGAACTTAGGAGTAGGTTTAGACATTGGGCAACAATAAATTTTAAAGCACTGTTTTGAAATAATTTCTAATATAAAAATCCAATGTTAGAACTTTTATTTGGTAGCCTAATCTCTGAAATAAGAATATACATTCAAATATCTTCCATGTAAAATGATCGGTCAATTTGAATTTTCTTCTTCTTATTGATGTGTTAATTTCTTACATCCAAAAGACTGCTATGTAGTGCCATTTCGCTCTGTCAAGCAGCTTCCCATGTAAAAGCTATCCATAAAGGGGAGGAGGTAGTGAGGCAAATTGTTGACAATAATAGTCAGGTTCATCGCTGGCTTCATCAAGAAGAGAAATGGAAACAAAAGCCTAGGGCCATCAATAATTTCAAATTAATTCAAGTAATTCTGTATTGCTTTGCTCAGGTGATAGAGGAGACTTGGGCTACTCCACCTGATCACATCACTGCTGGATCTCAAAATCTGCAAGAACATCCTAGTGCTTCACGAACTTTCACATGCATGTCCATGGTCTACTCCTGAAGGTCCACCATGCGCAGCTTCATCTCCCCACCCTCTGGAAATCTGCCTGTATCCAAGCCATGTGGAACCACTTGCTCTTTTCTAAACAAGCATTGTGTTCCCCTGTTCCCCTGTGTGTGCCTTTTTCAACCTCTCCTCTAAAAATTCTCCATGACCCCCAAGCATAAGCCTCCAGCAGCAAGCTCAAAAATGCTTTCTACAATGTTGTGTGGCTCAGCCTATTTCCAGAGTAGATGTGCAATTCCTCTTCCCCCAGTTGTATTTCCTGCAACTTTTGCAGGCTGCTGGAACACTTTCTCTCTGAGGATTCTGATGAACAGAGTTCTTGCCCTCTTGACTTTTCCAATCTGGGTGTAGGCACAGACGGGGACAGCAGGATTGCAACACAGTCACTTAATACAATATGGAGCTGCTATAATGGAGGAAAACATTAACTGCTCTGAAAGGACTCAAGAGCTGAGTCTTAAAGAAGGATTTTACAAGGTTGACAAGGAAATGGGTTCTCTCCAGATGGAAGAAAAAAATCACAAGAAATCAGCAAGGAAGGATGAAACGGCACTGGACTTGGGGAAAAGGGAAAGCCATGAGATGTTGCTATGGTATAAAGAACATGATAGAGTGTCAGCAGATGAGGCTGACATCACCTGAGGCTGACATCACCTGACTTCTGCTGCTGAGCTTCTCTGACATCTTCTCAAGGGCTCAAGGCTTAGATACCCTCTGATATGGTTTATTTGTGTCCCCACCCAAATCTCATCTTGGTTTGTAATAATCCCCATGTGTCAAGAATGGGACCAGGTAGAGATAACTGAATCATGGGGGTAGTTCCCCCATACTATTCTCATGGTAGTAAGTCAGTCTCATGAGATCTGATGGCTTTATAAATGGGAGTTCCCCTGCACAAGCCCTTTTTGCCTGCCACCATGTAAGACTTTGCTCTTCTGCCACAATTGTGAGGCCTCCCTAGCGATGTTGGAATTTTGGAAAAGAACAATGCAGTCTGTGAAGGTAGGTACAGAAGCTCTGAGCTGACACAGCATGGAGGTCACTTGCCTGGTCCTTAGCACTACAATCCACAAGCCACACATCCACACCTTCAGTAGCAGCAATTTCCATCTCCAGTCTTTGCTTTCCCTGAGAGCAGATCCTGAAGCAAGAAATTGAATGCGAGTAGTTTATCTGGGATACAAAGACCAGTAGGTGAGTGAAGAAGTGAGACAAAGATGGCAAGGCCACCTATACAGGGTGCGTTATCAAGCCAGCTATCAGTGTGGACAACTGGAGCTTACTCCCACTGAGAAACCTCTGGGAGTCAGTGTGAAATACAAATCCCTGAGTTAGCCGCCTACCCCCATCCCCAGAAGGGCAAGGGAGCTTGTTATGCAGGTGTTTATTTTTATTAGTCATTGGCTGAGGGCTGCTAGTGCTGGGATGGTACAGAAGTTACTTTCCTGGCTCTTCCTGTCTACTGTAGGTAGAAAACTGGTCTCTCCCAGCAAAAGAAAGTCCTAAGGCAAAGAAATGCAGGAGCTGGCAGCTGGTAGCCTCTGGGGGTCAGGGGAAGTTTGACCAGAGTGCCACAAGGATGCCATGTGCCCCACAGCAAGCCTTCATCTCTTAGCCTGCCCCCCACCACCCCAGCCCGTCTGTCCCAGCATCTGACTTTGCTGATTCAATCTCCTGTTCTGTGTTTGGGGTTTTATTTCAACTGAAGCTTCCCTCCCCACCAGCTACCCCAGTATAGCACACATTAAAGTACTTGGAAAATGTTTGCTGAATTCTATCTGATGACTCAAATCCAATGGGCTACCTGGTGAATTTATTTTAACATGATCCTGAAATGAAACTGAGATGATTTTACATGAACTACAGTATTTTATCTGTAGGTCCACGTTTCTATTACTTCCTAGTCCTCTGGTAATTGGTGAAACTGTGAGAGCAGATTTTTCTTTTTTTTTTCTTTCTAAGCCTACATATTTTGATTCAATTATATCACCATGCTGCACTCAGGGGGGTTATATTACATTGCCTCTTCTCTGCCCCAATTGTGCACAATCCTGCAATATTAGGGAGGTTTTACTATAATTCCTAAGCCTCAAATATATTTCTCCAGTGGTTTGATTTTATATCCTCTTTTTGGGTTTTATTAATGGCATCAGATATAGGAGCCTATGTACCAGCTGAAGTTTTTTCCTCTTAGCTATTTACCCATTTTCTGCTAACAGAAAAAAACACTACTCTCTCCATTCTCAAATCATGTGCCTCAGGTGGCATTAATACCACCTGTGGCTCTAACAGCAAGCATGTGATTCATACCTGGACAGTCAGAGTATCACATTATTTTTGACTACTGTGTGTGCATGTGACCCATTCAGAATCAATCAAATACAGTATGGTATTTTTCAGAACTACTGAGAATACATTTTCTTCTTTTCTTCTGAACTTGAACCTGGAAGAAATTTTCCAGGAACTGCTGGCAGCCATCTTACTGAAAGACCCAAGCTTAATAACAAAGATAAAAGGAAGGAGAGCAGAACAAAGAGAGAAAGAGAGGCTGAGACGAGAGGACAAATCCAGCTGAGAAAAGTTAGGGATCCTTCTGGCCTTAGTAGTTCCGTAAGACTACAGACCACCTTTTGGCTTATGACAGTTTGGTTAGGTTTTCTGTCACTTGCAACTAAAAGATCTCTAACTGATACAGAGGTGGACAGACCCATCTATAAACCCCAGTTCTGCCTATTGTTAAGAAGCAAGTGTATTTTTTATTTGTTTTTAGTTCAGTTTTATCTTTTTAACGGGGACAAAATATCTGTTGTGAAGAAGTAAAATGCTATATGCAAAACTCTCTACATAGTATCTGACCCAAATGTAGAAATCTGTAAAAGTTAACTCCTTTTCTCCTCTTCCTCACCCTCCTCTCTGCCCTCCACACTGGCTTCCTCTGACCACATAGCAGCCCAGTAAAGGTAAATGTACATTGACTGCATTCCATAATTGATAAAGTCAAGGAAAATGAACATGGAAGTCCCATCATTGATACACCAGACTCCACGCTGAGGAGGGGAGTGATCCCCAGCTGGCCTCACACTGCGATTCAGAAGACCCGGATCATTTTTGTGACTTGAACAATTTCTTTGTCTTCTCTGGATTTTGTTTTCTTTTCTCTCAAATGGGAGGGGTAGTATAGAGATGGCATCTAAGGTCCCCGTCAGCTTTGAAATACACTGTGCCACACCTCATTTCCTGAAATGCCTCCCACCTACCTAGGAGACTCTAAAATCCCTGTACATGTGTTCAGACCAGGACCAAGAGATGGGTGAGGAATGTGGGGTGCCTAGGACTGAATATTGAATGAGACACTCCCTTTCAGATGTGAACCCCATACCAACACGATGCTAAGAATAAGAGCCTCTCTAAATTTTGCTCCCTAGGCACCAAGGCTGAATATCCTGGTCTCAGCTCTGATAGGTTCCACTTAATAGCAGTGCTTGCCTTAAGCTATATGAACATTAAATGCTGTATCCACCACCAGGGTTCCAGCCAGTTAATGCTGTTAAGCAACCTTGAATTTTGAGTTAGACCAAGGAAATGACATCATTCCTGGACGCAAAGGAAGACTTTTCCTGATTTATGAATTTTGGGACTCATTTTTATCCACCATGGAATGACTTATGAATCATATTATTTTATCAAGAGTTCCAGTTTTCTATCTTAGATTAGCATCAGCAACATGAACCTCCCTCGTCGCCCAGCAGGGCTTTTCTAGCACATCACAGGCACCACCATTGCCTTGACTTGTCAGAGAACTACTTGGACAGCGTCTTCATTGGTGGTGTTTTTTATTGGGAAAATATATCGACTAAGCTTCTTAAAAAAATACCTCTGGCCTTTGTTTTATTCTCTGGGGACACACGTATTAGACAGCCTTGAGAGAACAAAGAAGTTGATTTTGCTCCATCCATGATGAGGCTTGAGTTTTATGTTAATTTTATATGTCAACTTGACTATGCTAAGGAATACCTGGATAGCTGGGAAAACAGTATTTGTTTCAGTGTTATAATGTAAATGATTTAGAAAAGAAACGAGCAGACAGAAAAGACCCAAACCTGGAAAGTGAAATAATAATGTAAAAATAATGAGAAACTAGAAGGAGAGGCAGAAATTGGGTACAAAGAAAGTCATTTCCAACCCCATCTTTTATGTAGATACTCACATGCAAACACACATACGAATGTATTTTGTGCATTTACAAAATACTAGGCACTTCACATATGATGTCCCACTTACCGCTTACAATGAAATGGAGAAGACGTGGTGATTGCCATTTTATAGTTAAACAAATTAAAGCTGAGCCAAAGTCACATCACATGACTCAAGTGTGGTAAAAGAGTCTCAGTTCAAAATGAGATCTCTGACTTTAAAGATCGCTAAATCCCCTTCACAATTTTGCAGAGTAAACACAATTTTGATTTACTATTTGTCCTTTACTTTCCCAAAGGTTTCAATGTTTCTGGTCATCAGCAAAGTCGTAACTGGAAGTTAACTCCCTGGCCTCTAAGGGAGCTAGTTTAATAGCCTGCTGCTGTGAACAAGTAACAGAAGAGCTCTTTTTGAAGAATTAGGGACTCTGATTTCGTGCCTGTGTTTCCCGCAGTTTCACAACTGTGGCTGCAGTCATCTTCACAGCAGAGCTCTCATTATTATAAGTGCCCACAGCAGCAGCTGTAATTTCCAAAAGAAACATTAAGCCTGTCTCCACCCCACCCCCAATATCTATTAATATATCAGTAACAAATACCTTGCTGATAGCCCTGAATTTTGACAGCTCTAGAAGAGAGCATCTTTCACAGTTATTGTCCTTTAAGAAAAGCAGTTTTATGAGGGGATTCTAGTGCAATTGGCATGGTTTCTTTACTAAAACCTAAAACTTGTCCTGTTTCTTTAGAAATTGAAAACCCAAAACAGCCATCTCAAGGAATAG